TCTCAAGGTTATTTGATTTCTGATTTCCTTTCGTCCGGGCTAAAAGTGTTGTGGATGATTTGCGTGTTTTAATCGAAATATCTAATAAAGTGAAAGATCTAAGAAACAAAGAAGGTAAACCCAGTTCCAATTGCTTAGGTAAGAAACATTTCAATAGACGGAACTAAGAGTGTAACGGTTGTCCAATTTTTGAAATACTGTGTATCTCGCAGTTATGATTTTGTTTCCCGTACCAATAATCATAACCCATGGTTCAGAAATATCTCCAGCTCTCGTTTAACCTGGTTTGGCGATGTAGCATGCGTTGACAATACGCACGCATCAATAAGCATTTGGCATCCTCTTAACCTCCACTATTCGTTTCCATTCAGCATTCACCTTTTCAGACTGACAAACCTACACTTCACATCTCATATCCACAAGGAAGTTGGAAAACGTGAGGCAATCTGATTTGATTTCCTTCTTTATTTTCATTCCAATGCCATTAACCGTTTATATTCGTTTGCACAAACAGCGCATTGTCATCATCATCATAATCATCATACACGCTAGCTAGAGGTGGGGAACACCTCAGCTACTGTGCCGCAATACAAAGAAAAAAAATGAGAAAAGAAAGCAACTGGTGCAAGCTGGCTGAGCTACCGGTAACGGATGGGCATCGTTCCGGTAAGCCACCAGTCGGCTGCTGTGCACCAAAAAAATTACTATGCAAAATTATATAAGGCTAAATAGTGAGATCGTGGTTGGATGCGGAGGCTAAGAGGGATGGGGTGGGACAAAGAAATTAACAGCAGTAACGCCACTGAGGTCGGCTCCTAGCCAAATCAGCAAGTGTGTCCAACCAAACGTGTTCATCGTCTTTCGGACCCCAACCAGGGAGTCGAGACGCTCCAACCGAGGCCAACTCAGAAGTGAGGGCCATCATTCCTCTGGACCAAGTCATCGCTTGGCCACCCCTCCTCTTCTTCCATCCACACCCCCGGCGCGCAAACAACACACGTCGCGGGAGTCGGTGGGCTGGCATGCGAAACACGTGGCCGAAGCATCGGAGGATGGTGCGTGAAATAACGGTGCTGAGCGGTTCAGTCCCTTTTCCTGTGACGTAAACAAGGCATCGAACACACTCGTTGTTTACTCGGTGTTCCCACCAGATGTGAGCTAAATTGCGAAGGACCGGTGGTCGAACGTAACTAGCCTCTTTGTGTCCGTTGATCTAAAGGGCTAGGTTTCGCAGCCGCAAAACAGAGTCGAGCGTACCGTTGCATTGCACGCTCTACCCTTCAGGGCGAGAGTGATGTCGCGCCGCCGCCATAAGTGGCGAAGGTTAGTAAAAGCGCCTCGAGCTTTGCTATACGGTTCGTGATCTCATCTTCAATTCCACGGGCGCTGATACAACTTCCCAGGTAGTAGAATTGTTGAACGACTTCTAGCTGATCCCCAGCAAGGGTCAGCGTAGGAGGCGGTCCAGACCAATCTTGAAGGAACGCTTTGCACTTCGAGGGTGCGAAGCAAAGCCAGAAGTGACGGACAGCTAGTGCTAATCTGTCCAGTGCCGCTTGGCACGTTTGTGAGCTGTCACAGATCAGCGCATTGTCACCGAAAATGGAAAAGCAGAGTGGAATAAGTTCCTCAGACTCACACATTTCTCCCTCCCGAATAATTCACACTTTCTAGGCGTAGACATAGGTGTCACTTTCCCTCGATATCTTGGTACACATTTGGAACCGATCGGGAAGTCATCATTTCACATGTCACTCAAAAGCCTGAAGATTTTGAGTAAAAAGCGAAACGCTGTATATCATAAATAAATAAATAGTTTATTCTCGAATTTGTCGAGACACACCAAGTAAGGCATGATCAATTCATATGATCATTCATATATTAACCGGTCGTCTATCAAGCCTTCAGAAAGGATGACTTTCCGATCGGTTCAAAATAAGTTCCCAGATATCGAGTACAGATACGGACGTCGTGTACGCAAATTAGCGAGTGAATTTGTGTGCCTAGCATGTATCGAAGCCAATTTGGAAAATTATCGGTTTTTAACATCAGGTTTCTCAAGGACATCATTATTCTCAAATCCCTCACAGTTAAACCTTCAGATTGTTCGTACACCTCGGTGCGAATAGCCCTCAGAGTAGGCAAAGCATTTTTGAGACAAAGAATCTACCTAACAACTAGACGTCTGGGTGAAAACTGCCTCCATGCGCGTCAGCTGAGCTTGGATTTACAGACTGTGGGGCACAGTCTGATTGGGACAGACTTGTCAATAAGACCTCGGAAGTTAAGGCAGCAAGAGGACGGGAGTCGAAGGCAAATAGGTAAGTTCGAATATTTGATGGCTACACATAATAAGGCCGACAGTCGTACTGAGAAGCATGCATCTAGTAGTAACTATTGTGGGGTTGTTAATATGTCCGATAGGGCGTTGTGATATAGAGCGTAGAGTTTTAGAAAAAGGTTTGAATTTTACTATCAGCAAATCTAAATTGTTTTGACAAGATTACCCCATGAAAAGACAAAGGACATCCGCGCACAACCAGCAAATGTAATTAGATTTCAACAATCGGCAGAAGCGAAGCTTGCTCCAGCTGAACACATAACGTTAAAGACCCTGAAAGTGGACACTAGTATTGTCATTACAGGAGCGGACAAAGGTAAAGTAACAGTGGTAATGAATAAAGTAAAGTATTTAGAAGAAAATGAGGGGGTATTTGACCACAGGACCATACAAAGTGGTTGAGCAAAAAATGATTACGTCGGTAATGAACAAGAAGAAATCACTTGTCGGTAGTTAACCAAGGACCGTGAAGGACAGTTTAGGAAAGAGCAAATGGTACAGCATTTATCCGAAGTCGGCTATTCCATGTAGAATTTAGGGTCTTCCAAAGATACACAAGCTCGACGTCCCCTTGCGACCAATAGTGGATGGCATAGGCTCTTCCACACATGAACTCGCGAGATATCTGGCGAGCTTACCGCAACCCCAAACAGGGAGAAGGAGCGCATTTGTAAAATACGCTTATGAGTTTGCACGAATGGTGCGAGGGGTGAGCGTGGAACAAGACGAATTCATGGTCAGCTTCGATGTTACCTCCTTGCTCACGAACGTGCCCATAGAGGAGGCGTTAAGATTAGTGAGAAGCTGCCTGATAGCAGACAGCTTAGAGAACGGAACAAAACTGATCAACCGGTCGAGGGGATAGCTTTGTGCCTCGACATGACTTATTTCACATTCCAGTCTAGAATGTACACTTAAGAACAGGGTCTGGTCATGGGATCTCCAATATCCCCTGTATTGGCAAATATGTACATGGAAGAGTTTGAAAAGAAGGCACTACCAAATTTCCGTGGTGCCTGAGAGTATGGTGGCGCTAGGTGGACGACACTTCGCGAATGTAAAAAGGGATAGCAAATATGAATTCTTAAACTGTTTGAACTCCATTGACGATGCGATAAAGTTCACAATGGAACTTGAGTCGCAGAGCGGTACGCTCCCGTTCCTTGGTTGTCTGGTCCACAGGAACGAAAGAACGTTAAAAAGAATAATATATCGCAAAACAGTGGATACAGATGGGGTATTTAGCTATAGTTCAGGCCACCCGAAGCACATTTACACGGGAATCAACTAATCACTGTTACAAAAAGCAAGTGTTCTGTGCAAGGAGGAAAAAGATAAAAAAAAGCAGCGCAGATGGTGGCGATGAAATACTTAGTGACTAGCGGATATCCGAGGCGATTGGTGAAACGACAGCTACGGAAATGTTTCAACCCACGCGCAACACCAACCACATAGTGGATAGTGACAGTGGGTATTCCGTGTAAAGAAGGAAGTTCAAAAGCGATTCGAGAGTGCTGATTAGGGAGAAGATAAGGGCAGTTTTCTAAGAGGATCAAACGCTACGGACGAAGGATTAAATACCTGTAGATAGAACAACTAACTACCTTTCTAAGATTCCATGTAAAGATTGTACGCAGGTGTGTATAGGCCAAACAGCGAGGGAACTACGTAAAAGGATTTCGGAACATAGGCGGCACTTAGCACAATCTCCGAAAAATGAGCTAGAGTATGGAGCGCTGCTCTGCATGCATTTCAAACCGCATAAAATGGAGTGAAAATCCAAAATCGTGTAGTCCACATACACCGAAGTATGGATCACGGGAATAGGTACATTAGTGACTGTGGCGGTGTGCAATCCAACTCTTTTCACTGAATTTCAACACATATGAGGATGTACATCACGTAAATACTGACCTGTACTTTTCATGGACACAGTCGTTTGTTAACATTTATTTACTCGTTTCGTCGAAAACAATGAAGTCCGTTGGACTGTACACACTAATAATGGGTTTTAGACGCCATAGTGAAAAGATCGGTTCCAAAAATTTACTGATCGTCCATGACTAGACATCCTTGGTAAAGAAGCATCAAGGCAGCAGAAAAGTTACGCAGTACTTGGATCCAATGGAACAATGGCACCGCTCGCCGAACTTCGCATGTATTCGACATATTTGTTTCGGGATACCAATGAGAAGTGTCTAACCGGGTTGGTTCTGGAAATTCGTCTCGCATCCATGCGTGATATGTGTCTAGTTGAGAAATCGAAACTTTACAGGAAAAGGCAAGTAACCCGCAACAGTGAGATGTTCGCCATAGTCCATTGGACGAACCGCATGTACTAAGTGTATGTGACGCCCAGTTATCTATAATGGATGAAGATGCACTATGACGCCGTAAGTCGTGAAATGGCGATTTCGCAGACAGCATTTCATTTTCAGACGATAGTCGACTGTTAGATTCTGTATGATGTTTGCAGAACATGCGCAATCGCTCTCCTACCAACACCCATACAACTTGATCTATTGCTGTACAGCGGTGAAATACCGGTATGCAGAGTTGGCGACTTGATAATCAAACCAAGGATGGATGATGATGATGAGCCTAATAGCGCAGAAGGTGGCCTCGGAGCAACGCAATTCAACAATGAGTTCCGGCTCACCTGAAATGTTGAAGCTGCAATCGACACCTGGATCGGTTGATCAGCATCATCTCCACTATCCTTCGAAGGCGATGGCGGAGTTGTGACATCTGGTTGACAGGGAACATTCGAAATTGCTGAAGGGAGCGAAATCCAGAGTTCATCAAGCGGATTCTGATCGTCAGATACCGACGGCTTCAGCATGGGTTGGAGACGCACGTCCACTGAGGGGATCAGAGTGGACTGACTTGAATCGTCTTGCTTGCAGCGATTCGAATGGTGAGTTAGGATACCGTTCAGGATCTGACGTGTAGCGACAGCAGTGCACAGATCAAGTGGTCCCAATAATCGTACGGAAAGTTCGGTTCCCTGAAGCAAGAAGAGGGAAGTAGGTGGGTACAGGCAAGTTGGCAGTTAGCATACAAGAGCTTAGAAAGAATTGGAAACGACGGCGCACCTACCGTGAGATAGGAGCGCGATAGATTGAGACACTGCGAGTTGCTGCAACTTAAAGTCGTCTCGCTAGCTAACTGACTAGGTGAAAGAAGAGTAATTCTAATGCCTACTAACTCTATCTGATGAGATGTAATAACATCGAAACGCGTCATAGTAGTGCAGTGTTTTCGGGCGGGCAACACCTAATTTCTACTTGCATCAGCTACGGTCCTCGTGATCGAAAGACCAAGGTTCAGTTTAATGAGAATCGCGGTCAGCATTGAGATTGCGCGTCGCAATCCATCCACACAACGTGTACCACAAAAAGAACCTTGAGCATAAATATAATATTGTTTGAAATTCGAAGTTTGGTTCAAATCGTCCGTTTTAGAGACAGTGTTGTATATGATGCCTATGGACACAGTGTATTACAATAGATGTAGCAACGTCAAGTGAATACGTTTAAAAAAGCCATCGAGGAACGCGAGTAAGTAATGGGGGGGATGGGAAATCTATAGATGAATCTACATTCCGAGGCATGGACTATACGCAATTTCGTAAGTGCGGTAAAAAAATGATGAGGAGAGGTTCTGGTAACTAATCCCCTACTCCTCAGATTGAGACCATGCAAGGCAGTGGAGGGTGAGCGCGCCATATCATAGTGAGTAACCAGTCATGAAGGTTTGTGTCTGTCACCTGCGGGTCAGTGGCTTGAGTCGTCATCTCGCGCAGGAATGGTGGTGTATCCGAATTCAGTAGAATTGCTAGGAGATGCACTCTGCTGACAGGTAGCGATAGGAGGAAACAAGGATTTTCAGATTTGTAGCGACAGTCTGACTGAATTTAGTGGTTAGGATTGTCTTCAAAGGTCAGCAAACTTAAACAATGAACCGTCGCGGAACAGTTTAGACGTTCAGCAAAAATTCCCGATCCCACAGTAAAACGCGTCACGAGATCAGAGCTGCAACGAACGATAAGGAGATGGGGTGTTTGACAACTTGAGAATCAGCAGCATACATGCGGTGGATTCAGTTGCCTTGACTGGTGACGAAGAGGCAAGCCGAATCGAGTGAACACAAGGAGCAGCACCATCGTTGTATGAAAGAGTTAGTAATCAGAATCAATGGAAAGTCGCTAGATAGTATCGCTGCTACATAGCTAAAGGGGACTTATCGGGCGGAAACAAGCCACCATATGCCGATGAGCCCGGTTTTCTTCGGTAGCCCTGAAATCCCCACCCAGTAGAACCGACTTTCGATCCTATTCCAAGTAGCTACTCCATATCGAAACCATACCGCAAGTGGTGTCGGATTTCCCATGATAAATAAATACATTAGGTGGCCATTCGAGGGTGGATATACTCAGCAACCGAACTACGCATTCCTTAAGTGCAGCATCCTGTGGATGCGACGTAAGAAAGACGAACTGCCTCCTAAAGTCGAACGAACCAAAGGAGGTTTGCCATGTGAACAAAAAATGATGAATCTTTCAAAGTTGTTGAAGCAGAACGTGGTGCGATGCACCCTCGGATAAGCAGAGGTAATTGGTGACACAAAATGTACATACAAAACCGGAACAAATGTGGTTCAGATAGGCCGGCGCTCAGCAAACCACTTCGTGTGGTACAACTGAACCGACCCGTGACCGAAAGGATCACAAACCTGTCCTGTAATATGGAGGGTTCGAGTCTGTTTAGGGGAGCAGGCAACCCTTGTGGAATCAGCCCACGCGCGACTGGTAGTGGATGCGTGGCAGCAAAGTATCGGTACTGTGTACCGGCGTATTGCTGATGTTTCGCTTTTACTGAACCGGTCTTCGTGAAACAGGTAGTTTGGTAATGGGTTACCAAGTATCCAGGTATTATAGTTGATAAGCAACCAGATGGCTCCCGAATTGGGGTGGGCCCGGAGCTGCTTCCTGGTGAGCGACTTTTTGACTCGGAGTATGATGATGACATTAAAATATTAATAATGAGTCAGCTGTACGCCGTAACGGCGCTTCGCTGCCGCGCGACCGCCACCAGTCGCGCGCGGACAGAGTAATGACATTGCTCTCATCTGACAGCGTCCAACCGTGCCAAGCAGCAATAAACAGATTAACAGTGGCAGTCAATTGCTTAGGGCTATGTTTTTCTCCCTCAAAATACATAGTCCTCCAAGATTGGCAGAGACCCACCCCTACGCTGGTGGTGATCAGCGAGAAGTCGTTCAGGAATTCAAGTACCTGGGCTATATTAGTGTCCAGTGGATCGAAGATGAGGTGACGAACCGCACAGCAAAAACTCGAAGTGCTTTTGCCAATCTCCGCCACCTATAGCTACGATGCGACATCACTGTCACCCTGAAGGGCAGAGTTTATAATGCAGCCGTCCGTTATACCCTCCTATACGGTCGTGAAACCTGGCCCATCAGGTCGGTAGACATAAAGAGGATAGCTACCTTCGACTATCGCTGCATTCGCAGCTTAGCTCATGTCTGGTGGGAGCAACGCGAGCCATGAGCGTGCTCGACGTCGCGTATCTGGTGCAGGAAGAACGAGTGAACCGCTCAGTACCATTATATCACGCAACAGGCTCCGATGACTGGACCATATGTTGCGCATGCCAGCACACCGACTCCCGCGACGTGCGTTGTTTGCGCTGCCGGGGTCTGGATGGAAAGGAAGGAAAGGAGGCCAAGCGATGACTTCGTCAAGAGGAATGGAAACCCTCACTTTGAAATTGGTGTCGGTTGGTGCATCCGGACTGCCGGGCTGGTGACCCAAGGACGATGAACACGTTTGGTTGGACACACTCGATGACATGGCTAGGGTCCGGCCCCAAAGGCCTTTGTGTTGTGTGTTTCTTAGTCCATCTCCCTCTTCTTCAGATTACCCCTGAAATTACGATCTCATTGCAAACGTTATATATGATATTTTACATCATATTAATTGCTTTTGAATTTTTTGTGGCGTAATTTTAATATCTTATCCCTTTTGTATTACGGCACATGAGCTGAGGCGTGTTTCTCATCCTTAGCTGACGTGTGTTGATGATGGGGTTGGCGCAACTGTTTTTGGCTGTCATCCAAACAGAAGATATCAAATGTCGGAAAGTGTCAAGGATGTTGAAGAAGACAAATGCTGATTTTTCGCTTTCAATAATGCACTCAACGACTAATTTGGCGCTTACATGTACTCTTCAGGTAAAGATGGTCGAGGTGCCACTAGAAATCGGGACGAAGAGATTGCTGGTTGCAGCAGCTACTTAGCACTGAATCAACGAACACCGTGTAAGGATCACTTATCACAAAGGTAATGAACCAGTTGTTGATTCGTATTGGAGCACGTGCTGTGTGAATGGATAGCGGCAAGCGATCTTAAACGGGACCGCGGTATGGTCCCAGAGACCGGAATGACCGAGGTTGGTTACAAAACAAATTATGACCCTAGTCGAGAGTGCATATTGCAGTCCAGTTAGACAGGACAGAGTCATACCAAAAGGAAAGACACATGGTTAGTGGAACTCTCTGTATATAGGAATCCGAGCTCAAAGGTTTCTGCATACGAATTTGGAAGGAACAAGGAATCCCACCATCATGTTGCTTAAGCAATAGCGAAACCATAAAGTTAGGTGACCAACTGAATGGAAGGCGGCACTTCGGTCAACGAAAGAGGCGATGGTGGCGCGTCTGTGTGTTTTGCTGGTATTTCACAAAGCGCAAGCATGTGTAATATGCAACCCCTGTGGAGGCAGAAGCTAACTTGGCCATTGTTAATTAGGCTATCATGGGATCAAGCGAGCCGTTGAAGTAAGATGTTCGTGAACTATTTCGTAAACCGGTGAGCTGCATTCGATGAAGACCCGATGAAGCTCTGTAGAGACGAAAATGACAGTAGACGGTTATCGCATCTACAGTGTACAATGGAATGTCTGTTTCAACTAACGGACAATAATGGCCTTTTTCCAAGACGAAGTTATTGAATATGCGTTTAGGGATACGATGACGATGTAGAGCTGCTCCCAGGTGATCAACTTTTTAACAGATTATGCCGACCATATTGCCCTCATCTCTGAAGGCTCACAAATATTCCAACAAGCAATGGTCAAATTAGCACTGACAGTCAACCGTTTCGGTCTGAGCTGTAGACGCTCAAATGTAATCATTTCCTCCAAGGTTGACAGGAACTACTCCCTGACTTTTGGTGGGCATCAACCAGAAGTTGTTCAGAAAAGCAACTACCCGGGCAGCTGTCTGAGTGTCTGTGGGATCTGAGACGAGATTACGAACCGTACAGCAATGACTTAAGGTGCTTGAGCCAATCTTCTCTATTTGTGACGCCGCCGCGACATCATCCTCGTCTTCAAGAGTAGGGTCCACAATGCCGCCGTCCGTTCGATCCTTCTGTAAGATTGTGAAACCTGATTTTCCAAACTGACAGACGTATCAGCATTAGCTACGTTCGACCATCGCTGCCTTCGAAGCTTAGTGCATGTCTGGTGGGAACAGGGCCTGAACAATGAGCGTGTTAGGCGTCAAGCACCAGGCTCCGATGAATAGGTCGCGCATTGCGCATTCCAGTACACTGATTCCCACGACATGGGTTGTTTGAGCAACTGGGGTGCGAAGAGGAGACCAAGCGATGACTTGGTCTGGAGGGATGGACACCTTTGGTTGGTGCCCCGACTCATTGGTTAGGGTCCCAAGGATGATGAACACGTTTCGTTGGACATCAAGCTGGGTTCCACGCAGGTGTTGCAGGCAATCTGAAATCGCGTATCGAGCGAAGCTATTTTTGTGTATCAACTAAGGTTCGGAAATTCAGAAAACTATCAACTATTCAAACGAATCATACTAAGCAAATAAAAAAGCTCCGGAGACCTCGCTCAACATTGACAGATGATATCCGAGGACGGAGTGATGATTCCGCTTCGTGGACCGTGAATTCAGGTGAGGAGTACAGAAGTGATTATTATATGAGAGTATGAGAACGCGTGGTGGAAAATTAGCTGTTGTTAATAAAGGACATCAGCAGTTGATGGCATTGGGATCAAATTAAGTCCACGAAAGCACATTAATCAAGGGGAGAAGGCACTCAGTGAGACATGCACACAGATCGCAGCAGAAAATGGTATCAGCAGTAAACCGGTGTTTGCTACTGACGCTTCGCTGTCAGGCGACGCCCCAACAGTCATGTGTGGGTTGAGTTTACCGCGAGCTCGCCTGCACCTACGCGAATTTGAACCGATGACCAGATTACGAGGTAAGCGAATAATTCTTTCGGCAACTGGCCGACCAGTTGAAGTGGCATTCGTCGCGAAACCTGACGCTAGGCATCCAGAATGTTAACAAACTCGTTGAAAATCATAAGCAGAATGTCCGCGACACATGCGCAACGAGATAAAACTGGATGTCAGCTAGGAGTTAAGTCAGAGTTTGTGAGCCGGTGCAGAACGAGACTCATGAACCCCAAAAGAATGGGGCAGAGATGAGAGGCAGGTAACTGCGATGATATTTACTGATCAACGCGTGCAATAAGTCCCATGATTCCTCAGCTTGGCCAGTCAATGACATGGCGAAAGAGCCTGAAAAAATTCGCTGAAAGATGATTCGAGTTAGTGCTTGCTGTTCTCCCAGATGGGCGCATTGGGATTAGCTGTATGAGTAACTGGACACCCTATTGGATATAGTGCGGCCACAGAGTGAGCAGAACAAATTATCTAAACCATTCAATTCGGGCCTATGATAATTTCATCGAACGATTTAGATACTTGTTCATTCCTATTATTGTCGTTAGTATTATTACTACCCGGTGTGTGATAAACTGAATTCCCGGTCGATAAATTGTCTCCTTGTCAAGTGACTGTCGATCGAGAAGCATGTGTACACGATGTTTGGAAGGCGCTAGCTCATAGGCGTAATTTCAGCATGCTAAGTAGGTGTCAAAAAGTGATGATCAATAGACCGCTTGCCCTAAGCGATGGACGACTTGTGTATGTTTAAGTTGGAGTCAAAAAGCACCGCTAATTGGCTCAATGAGACTGTCGAAGTGCAACCACAATGAACCCAGATCCATCGAGAGGTAGATTGCAGAGGATACGATGAGACACAATGGTTTCGAATGAACGATATTCAAATGAACGAGAGAGCAGCGCCTGCTAGAGAAAATAAGCGGCCGCTGATCGCAGATGAATGGGATGTGCGAATAGGCAAGAAAGGTACCTTGCGTTGTGTATACTCATCCAAGATGGTTGATGGCTCCATTTCGGCGGTGGCGGCGGCGGCGGGGTGGTAGATCTCACAGGCGCCGAAGTTGATAAGACCACGACAAGTAAATTCTTCCAGCACACGTGGGATCCAATGTTCGCAAAGCACGATGCGTAGCAGTCCCCGCACGAAGCAGTGGTCAGAGACAAGTTTGGAAGTGAGTAAACGCTACAAAGATGAGTCGGAGGAGGATAACGGAGCACAAGTACATAGTAGGTTAAATCACACACAAAAGTTGGGCGTATTTACAACAGCGGAGAGATTTACCTTTGGAGCAGAGTACCATAGACAGAGAATCAAATTTCGCACGGCCAAATACAATGTCGGAAATCTGGCCAAAACAAGAAACAAGGGAAGAAATGATGTAGGTATGCTTAAATCGTATAGGCAGGAATGAAATCTCAGCAGTGGAGAACACTATGTGCTGCGTTTGGTGGCAATTCAAACTGTGTCCGGCGAGACATGCAGGATGTCAAAGTCGAGTCGCAACGTGTTTTGGAAATTCTGATGGACGATGTGGTAACAGCGGAACCGTAGTGAGAAAAGACTGGTGAAATAGGGGACAGTGCAAAGAATACTTCCAAAACAACACAACTGGTTGACGAATGAAGTAGCGCAAAAGACAAAACGAAAGCACCACAAATAGCCCGACTATGTTATAGACAGGTTAGCTATCTATTCTATTTACTTTTGTATCAGAGATAACTATTCTCATGAAGGATTTTATAGTGAAGATTTGGAAAAGCAGAGTCAGTCCGTTTCTTGGCTATAGTGTGCAGCTGTATTAACGCTGCGACGAAGGAAATCTCATCCCACCAGTTGCAATTACGGCCAAAAAACACAGCCAGTCTCAAGAGTAAAGTAATATGTTTGCTTTGAGATGAAAAGTATATATCTTCCCCAAAAATAGTAACAATAAACGGTGAATGGAGCGATAAGTGTAAACACAGACCGCCATTTGTTAGCTACCTTGGATCGATAGTCCATCGGATCGAGCTTGCAGTACATCCACAAACAATCGTGGCACATCCGATAGAATGGGCCTGTTGACAAACAACAGAGGGGCTTTAAGTGTCATTCAATGATGAAAGACCGGTGACACCATCACAGAGTGTTACCTTGCGGAATCTCACGATGTGGGTAGTGAAATACCGCTCCGTGGAAAATTGGTTGATCCGTATGATATTGTGATTCTGTTCGACCATCATGGGGCAGCCCAGTCGAGCCTGAAAAAAACTCTAAAGTGGCCCCATACTTTGGTATGCGCTTCGCAGGTTCAAAGTGCAAAGATTACCACTCACGGATTCTCTCCCACCACAAGACCAATACTCGAGTGCGATTCACTTGCCTATTGTCCGATCACATATGGCGAGGTGCAAAAACTGGAACATGTTCAATATGTCGCGACCAGGCTCATCCCCCGTACACGTGGGATGCCACTAGAAGACCGATGCAGGAGACTGCGGCTGCACACTCTGTCGTGTCATCGGTTTCGAATGGACTCCGTGATGTTACATCGTATATTACATCTTGATGACCCCTCTATGCTGAGGGCATTTTTGTATGTGCGCGCATCAAGCAACAGTCGCGGGCACCGAAACAAGCTTGTGGAACTGGACGTGGAGCGGATAGCGGGTGTTTCAAGTGTCGGGTAGTGAAACATTGGAACAGTTTGTCCGAGACAAAATCCGAAGCGAAATTGGTGTCGGAATTCAAGAAACTCCTAGACGCCCACTATGCGCATCGCACCTAAATACTAGAACGTCACATAGACGAACTGCGTTGACGGTGCACGGCAATTAATGACGATATCCCGCGTGCGTGTTTGATATTACATTGAGGAAACAACACATATGTCTTATAACTCAACATTTTCAGAATTCAGCAGGATAACTAGCCATTTGAAGACTCCTTGACCCTTGTTAATAAGGTCTGGGTAGTCGATCAAGTTACCTACTACAGTAGTTGCAGCAGCATCGATGAACGCGTGAAGACTAGAGCTACTTGCTTGAGCCCGCGACATCTGTGAATTCAGAAGTGAAATTTCCTCGGCCCGAAAGGCCAAGCATACAAAAGACTATACTGAAGGCTGTCCTACAATGTGAGTCATAGTTGGAACCTACGGTTTGAGGAAATGAAATGTCTATAAGCCTTTAATCGTTATCGGGTGTGGAGCGTTGCTAAGCTCGAAGTGCTTTTGTCAATCTCCGCAATTTGTGGCACAGACGCGACATCACTCTAGCCCTGACTGGCAGAGTTTATAACCCAACCGTCTGTTCGACTCGCCTAAACGGTCGTGAAACCTAGCCCATCAGGTTAGCCACGTTCGATGATCGCTGCCTTCGCAACTTAACTCATGTCTGGTGGAAGCACCGCGTGAGCAATGAGCGTGGTCGACGTCGCATATTTCGTGCAGGAAGAGCGAGTGAACCGTTCAGTACCGTCATATCACACACCAGGCTCCAATGGCTGGGCCACGTGTTGCGCATGCCAGCAAACCGACTCCCGCGACGTGCATTACGCGCCGGGGATGTGGTTGCAAGAGGAAGAGAGGCAAAGCGATGGATTGATCGAGAGAAATGAAAACCCTCACTTCGAAGTTGGTGCATCTGGTCGATGGACACGTTTGGTTGGACACACTTGTTGATATGGCTAGGAGCCGGCCCCAATGGCGTCTAAGTTGTGAGTTCCTTTGTCCATCCCTTCCTGCTTAGCCTCCTCCTCCAATCACGATCTCATTTGTTGGGCACAATAACTACTTTTTGCTGCAGGATAGCTGGCTGTTAGCTCTCCGGAACGATATCCATCCGCTACTGGAGACCCAGCCAGCGTGCCTCTGTTGTTTTTGCTTCTTCTTGTCTTTTGTATTGCGGCACAATAGCTGAGGTGTTTTCCACCTGCAAATAACGTGTATAATGATGATGATTATGATGCGGAGCGTTGCTGCTGTCGGATGGCACCAGTGTGTCCGCAACGTGCACAGGCGAGCATTAGGCGGTGATGGTCAGGTTTTCCCTGCAGAAAACCAAATAACACTGAACAAGTTGAGTTGGCGTGATCAAGTAGGCCCGTTTACTGCTTACCGGATGGTACAAGAATCAATGGGTGCAAAAGATGATGCAACTGACGACTAGAGTGGATGCTGCTGGTCAGATTCGCCTTCCAAGCTGCAGTCCTCGCGGCCAGCGTCATGCTTGGAAGGAGACTTTGGAAGACATGACTTGTCACTGGCACCAGTGGTGCGTTTGCTGTCGTTTCCTGGTCCGAATGCTTACAATGTGTCTGATGTTGGATTTTTCGTCGTGTCAATCTGACTATAACGCGGGGCAGTGAAAGTCGTAAGGAAGCTGCCTCGTCGATGCCGCCTTATCTTTGCACGATAGTCAGTTGGCAAAGGTTTGAAACAGCAAGAAGGAACGACATTTCAACAGAATCATACGAATTCAGATATGTCGCGTCTTCTCATCAGCTATGTACGGACAATCTACGATATCAGTATCTTACACAAACAACGGTAAGAAAAGGTGAAATATCGTTCTATTTAGATGAAGTGGATAGATAACGTCACCAGGGCAAAGCGAGAGCAGTCAAAAAACTCCGTCTGCTTACATAAAATGGATTTCAGACGATGAATCGCTGAAGCCTATGCAAACTGAAGCACACGATTATGAACGATTCCCGCAGGTGTTGGCACTTAGGGAAATCAAGGATACACTGGGCAATGGAGCCAGTGGGCAGCTTAGAGCCGGTTGCCACCAGGTTAGGTGTCACAGTTCTGAAATCCTCCAGGAGAGCTTCCTCTTAGTTCGGTCTACGTACCTGCTACGACAAATACAATGAAAGAGGTAGGCACAAGATGCGGTAACTTTAGCGTCTGTACATGTCGGATATGCAAAACACCTGGTAGAGTAGTACTATCCCAGACGCAAAATAGCATTCCTTAGTTGGCTGACGGAGACGATATCGGAATCATATGTTAGTTTTGCTCCCCTTTCTATGGCAGTTTGATGAATACCTCCTTCTTAAGGTCGGCAATACGTTTCTCGACTGACTTTTCCGTATAAGTGGCGCACGATGAAACGACCGGGATACCCGTTATTTTTTCGATGTGTTGCAGAGACATGTTGCAACGCATCGTCATTTATCTACTCAGAGCAGATCTTACGAGCTCTTACGAAAGTGGTGCGGATGAGCGCTCGTTTGTAGCGGATGTGGTAGCAACCGTCCAAGTGAGCCTTCAGTACACAGATCGACTGAGTGTATCATCTACATATTCATTTTCAGGTGCACATCCGAAAGATGGAAAATGCCTCATTTGCCATGGTAAATTTGACCGAGGGATAGCGGCACTGGTTTAGAGCATTAGGTAGACATTCCGTCTATGGAGTGTACCGTCAATGTATCCGTTGTACAAGTGTACGTTTAGTGTAAACGAATGATGTTTGATAGTTTAAAAGTGGCCCATGAAAATTTCACCTAGGAATCGCCTAGGTGGGTTGCAGATGGTTACGCGCCCTATTTGTCGGTACACGGTTCCATTGGATTGGAACTGAATGTATTTCGTGCACATACAGGGTAGCGACTTGAGAGAATTAGACGGAAACCCCACGTTTTCCGCATGAGTGCGCATGATGTCGAGGTTGGAAAGCAACGAACAAACATTAAATGAAGTCAGGTGTTTTCCGTCTACGTTTAACTCACGCATCTTGTCGACAAACTCAAATGTATCCTTGAGGGAATAGCCGGTTAGCTCGCATCGGATGGGTTCGATAAGCTGGGTAAACCACCGTACCAACGTTTGGTACGGTGCACCCAACATTGAGACTATTAGCCCGAAAGGGTTGTTTAGCACAGTTAAATGTGCTACACCAAACCGACCTACTTATTCCATAATACAACGGTGAAGAATCAGTGCAAATTACTGGTGCACTGTTGTTAATGTTGTTGATGATGATGATGAATACTCGTCCTCTTTGCGGCACTTCCATGGACAATGTGATCCTGCACTGGTTCCCAACTTCTCTCTTCGGACACACATGTGATGATGTTCAATTCGCTACAGCTTTTAACAGCTGCATTGGGATACCGGAGAAACATGTAATGAATCCCGGTCGAAAATGCTTAAAGTAGTAAATGAAGCATTGGTCTACTTGGAGAACTCGAGCGATGATCCACAATCCACGATTTCAATCACGGCAATAAACTGCCTGCATCGGCTTTATGTGAAGTCAGATGAGGAAAGGTCTCATACTACCGGACAAACTCACAAGTATTAGTGGAGTCAGCCGATTGCGTATGCCATTCGGTTTGCAAATGTAACTACAGATTCTGCGAATTGTACAAAACACTAGTGTTTGGACTCTATGCGTGTCGTTGTGGTAGGTGTTGCGCTTTCCATTGCATGCACTGGATCAAGACGCACTCAGTGGTCGACGCATCACAAACTTCTTAGATCAAAGGACACTTGCAACGGGTTCTGGACGAGTGCGTGATGAGTGAAGAATAATGGCATGCTATCAACAGATTTTCAATATTCAATTCCCACAATACTGGCTTGGAAAACGGGATAGCACAACACCAAAAGTGAACTCCAAAATCCATGCACTACGAATGCGGGAATTGGACAATAGGCGGGGAACACAGGAAAGACACAATCACTGTCGACCACCACTGGGCCGAATACGAGAACACACTAAGTTCAATAATGCTGTACTCATTGTGTAAAGTCGTGGTATTTGGGCCACACCTGTATGAGTGAGGAGATTTTATTGCACACACTAAATGTTCATTCCCGCGAGATATGACAGGTTTGAGTGAGCGCAATACGAATGCTGACGAGCTGCACACACACTTGTTCAATGTAGCCACCTCGGTTACTGATGTCACCAGATTGCTAATCGTCCCTGGGCTCGCAGATTGATTCCCTCGCACGACCTCAAATACGTAGGTTATAATCAAATTTACACCCGCGACACTCGGTGGTGCTGAAGGCCGGGACTGAATCGATCGTGCCCCCAATCCGCATGGTGCCCAATCCTTCAAGGTTACACTGGATAAGCGCTGGGGGTTGTATGACGTTGACCACCAACCACCATTTATGTGACGTGGTTATCCACGAATTTGAGTGGTGGGTAAATCCGGAGCCGGATGTAATTTACTACGCCTGCTGAGCAAATGTCTGACCTGTTCAGGGCACTTACCGAACCATTTCCGGAAAAGATGCGCGCTCCCATGTGAGCAGATCGGTAGCAGGGAAGGGAGAATTATCTCCAAATGGAAACCAGTGAGCAGCTGAAACCAAAAAGGGAGACATTGGCTGGCAAAAAGAGCGAAAACTATGGGGAAAATGTATGTGCGTATGCGATAAACAGTTCCATGCTAAACCGAGCAGTGTCTGAAAATGGGATTGCACCACCTGCGAAAAAGTGGAGGCAGTTCCGTGTAAACTTAAATAATGTAAAGCGACGAACGCATGTGTTAAAAGTACTATGTAGTACGTTTGCGGTCGAACTCAGCCACATGTGACTGTTTGGGGGGAAAAGCTAGTATGGGGCCAGCGGGCGTCAGATGTGCTCTCCCATCAAGAAAACAGCTTGTGGTGGTCGCGCCCCCACCAATCGAGTTGAGCTTACTCAACCACTGGATTAATATCACCAATGGACAGAGGCCATCGGCGTCTTTTCAGGCAACAATGAGAAGGATGTTAAGAATGAGTTCATCTGACCTCTAACCTGTCACTTAAAAGGTGCCACCTAAATGTAGCTCAAACGATTGTGCATGTAGACAAAATGTCACAATAAGCTAAAGTCCAGTGTCGTCGCGACATTCCTCGATTTGCATAGATCACCTGTGCGTTCGACTGCGCCCTTAAGGAGAATGGCGATGTTGTCTCCGATTAACGTGAGACAAAAGTTTTTAAGTTGTGTAAAAGATCGGCCCTCAAAGCCGGAGCCATATTTGCGAGTTTGCTCAGATAATGGGCTTACAATTCGGGAGAGAAGAGCTGGACGTTGGTCGAAAAAAACCCAGAGAATTCGAGGTTGCTTGTGGGAGAAACCCCAACCTAGAGTGGAGCTGTGGAATATAACGCTCTAGGAAAAGTGTAAGTATCCCAAGAGAAAAAAAGGCTGTATGGAGACCGTAAAATGTGTAAAACATACGTTTATATAACCTATTGATGACAAGAACAATGAACAGGTAGACAATAAAGTGAACCACGTGATTATCGGAAGGGTGTGATTCCAACCAACAAAATAGCAACACACTTCGTACAAACTTACTTTTGCTTTCAGAAGTCAAGTTCTCATGGGTTGAACCTGGAAGAGAATCCATCGAGAGGCCCGTAAGGTCCACACCGAAGGTGCAGAGAGCGTCGAAGGCAGGGACAGCTTGAAGCCATGCGTGAACTCGCATACTAGAGAGAAAATCACACGGTCGTTCGAGAACCAGAGTTGTTCGCTGACAAGGGATAATAATGCAGGGAGTGAGCACAGCAATCCGAATGATCGGCCATAAGTTGCTTTGCTCAAAATAGTACACTTTACACACAAAAATCGTCTACTCATCGGCAGAAAAGTGAAATGCAATTGCAGTGAAAATGATGCTTCCATGTTACACGACCAGGAGTGTGTGTGGGGAGAGCGGAACGCAAAGATAAGTAAACTACGGGGGTGTAAAACCGTAACCAAACCTTTTTGCCCAACTGGCAGGTCATGTGCAGTAGTAAGGCGGCATTCATTAGGAGAGCTTTCAACATTGGGACATTTTATCAATATAACAACTGGCAGTGTCACAACATATGGAAAAAAGTGACATAAAGAGGTGGACAGGAACAGTAAGGAGAGAAGGGTTTTACATCACGTTCACCATAGTGTACGATTTTGGGCCAAATCCGACACTGTTTGCAATCAGATGTGCTAGCGGTCCTTGAGTCCCCGACTCAGGAAAAGTTGACTGCGGCCCACTCGGGAATCGAAGCCAATCAAATCGATCGTATCCGTTAGCCCGATCATCCCAATGCAGCTGTCAAGATAAATGAAATTGTCGACATTAGACCCTGCATTGGGTAGTGTTGGTCTATTCCGCTTTCCAATTTGGAGGATGCGTGACGCAAGGAGAAATCGCCCTCTGACTGGTATTCGCCGACCGTTATCTCCATCAGAGAGAACGTCTTAAACAAAGCACTGCCGCAACATCCTGCAATGAATCACTGTTTCTTGTGAGAGCCGAGTCCCTGAAAGCAAGGTTGCCTTCTGTCCCATATATTGACTCTTCGACAGGTTGTTAAATGTCACATGCAAACAACTTGCCGTGATGGGCTTTCTGGTATGGAAGGCTAGCCGCGACTTTTTCAATTGCACTTGTCTGTGGCAGCGTCCATTATTGAAGGGGAAATAGGAGAAAGTGCTCTTTATTCTAAAACCGCTATACCACGACTCCTGTGACCGCGGAAACATTCCCCTGGATTCGCAACGGTAAACGCAGTGGGTCAGCCCTTTCCCACATCACCAGTCCCCTTCAACCATATGTCAGGATGATCATGACTGTCTATGGCATCGATTCACTTCAATTGGGGTCGAAGAGCCGTTAGATGATAGATAAATCTGGAGAATGCAGGCCAGTTGGTCCCTTTGGATCAGTTCCAAATGCTATGCAAGCGTTTCTGAAAAGACTGAGGTAAACCGCTGCGCGTTTTGTGTGCTTTGTATCTTCGAAGCGCCAAGCATTGTTCCAAGATTATCCTGACTCAGTACCAGTTCATAACCACCGGGCAACAGCTCGGAGCGATCGACCGATTTACTTATCCGGGCAGCTGTATCCTCCTTTCGAAAAGAGTGAATGGACTCTGCACGAAAATCCCCAAGGCAATAGTCTTATTTCCATGGGCACCAAAGTTCTCACGTTACACGTGAAGCTGGTCCTAGGAGACCACCTTCTTGAAGCGGAGCATCCCAATGACATTAGCCCAAACTGTGACAACTCACAAACGGGCCAATCAGCATTGAACAGATTAGCGCGGGCTGCCAATCGCCTCGACTATGCGTTACACCCTGGAGATACAAAATATTTCTCTAAGATTGGCAGGGACCCATTCCTGCGCTGACTCAGTGGTGATCAACTAGAAGTCGTTCACCTGGCTAAGAGCCGATCTCAATGGCGTTCGTGTTGTGAGTATGTATCAGATTAGGGGGACCACGCATCACGAGAAAGGCGAAGATGCAGACGATGATGTGGGTGGATCGGTGACGACAATCGGTAAACTGCGTTGTAATCCTGAGTTCGTGCATCAGTCAGGTCAGCATCGTCATACAAGTTGGCTAGAGGCGGAAAACACCTCAGCTAGTGTGCCGCAATAAAAATGGGGGAAATGCAATAGGTGTAAGCCAACTGAGCTACCGATAACGGATGGGCCTCGTTCCGGTAAGCTACCAGCCGGCTACTATGCACCCCAAAAATATTGTGCAAATTTGTATAAGGCCAAATAGTGAGATCGTGGTTGGAGGGGAGGCTAAGAGGGATGGGGTGGGACAAAGAAATTAACAGCACGAACGCTACTGAGGTCAGCTCCTTGCAGTGTCAGAAAGTGTGTCCAACCAAACGTGTTCATCGTCTTTCGGAGCCCAACCAGGGAGCCGAGGCTCTAACCGAGGCCAGCTTCGAAGTCAGGGTCTTCATTCGTCTTGACCAAATCATTGCTTGATCACCCCTCCTCTTCTTCCATCCACACCCCCGGCGTGCAAACAATGTACGTCTTGGAATTCGGTGGGCTGGCATGCGCAACAGGTGCCGAGCCATCGGAGGCTGGTGCGTGAAATAACGGTGCTGAGCGGTTCAGTCCCTTTTCCTGTGACGTAAACAAGGCGTCGAACACACTCGTTGTTTACTCAGTGTTCCCATCAGATGTGAGCTAAATTGCGAAAGCACTGGTGGTCGAACGTAACTAGCCTCTTTGTGTCCGTTGATCTAAAGGGCTAGGTTTCGCAACCGTACAATAGGGTTGAGCGTACCGTTGCATTGTACACTCTACCCGTCAGGGCGAGAGTGATGTCGCGCCGCCGCCATAAGTGGCGAAGGTTAGTAAAAGCGCCTCGAGCTTTTGCTATACGATTCGTGATCTCATCTTCAATCTCAAGGGCGCTGATACAACTTCCCAGGTAGTAGAATTGTTGAAGGACTTCTGGCTGATCCTCACCAAGGGTCAGTGTAGGAGGTGGTCCAGGCAAATCTTGCAGGAACGCTTTGCACTTCGAGGGTGCGAAGCAAAGCCCGTCAGTCAGGTGGCAAATATTACTTGCAAGAGTAAGTGTATGCATATTCCTAGGATACGCGAGAGGCCGTTTCTGTACTAGGGACAGATTATTGTTACCTATAGGACAATGCCGATGCATGAGTGAGATATGTATTAGGTAGTGGCTAGGTTCTTAAGGCATTCTGAAATATATGGTTTGGACCGGCGCAGAGTTTTGTGCAGCAGTTTTTCCTACTGGCTATATGTCCCTTAGTCTATCATGGAAAAACTAAATTGGTGACTTTGCTGACGAAAACATGATCACTATCGAGTGCTGGCTCAGGAAATTTCCAAATTCAGTGCAGAATCGTCTTGTATCTGTACAGGACCTGATAATGGTTAGTAGGCTTCCCAATACAGTTCATGGAAAAACGACAGCGTATCAAAGGCATGAGCTGAGTCGACACAGGCATTCCAGAACCAGCGGCAAAGCAGGATGGAATCACGCCACCTGTAACTTATGGCTATGTGATCAATGTGGGTCCATCGCTGGTCAGCTACAGGAGGATGCCAACTGGCAATTTGGCGCCTAATGGGTCTAAAAGCAGTGCCACTAAAATACAACAGGTTCTCTGCACACAGTTGCAGTATACGCTCGCCGTTGTCAGTGCTTTCGAAGTTAAGCCCACGTAGATGAGCTTCTGAAGAGCTCAGAGGCCGTACTTGTGCGTTCATATGAACTGCAAGTATGATAATACCTGCACTAGTAAAACTGCGCAGGAGCGCGTTGAGTTCGTGATCGAATAGGTCCTTGGTAACATCAGAACTGCAGTCGGTGGGAGCATAAGCGGATATCACAAACAAACAGCGTTTTGTACTAATGAATCTTGGTTGATGTCGTCAAACGGGTTGCACATAAACAGCTGTTCACCGGAATCCAATCAACCAACGATGACGTAACCTTGGAGCTGAGAAGGATACCTACCCCAGCTTGACCCGTGAGTGGTGCATCAGCGTCTCCGGATGCGTGCAACCAATGGCGAGAGGACAAGCCGGGTGCAGTTAATTCAAAAACCGCACTAGGGTCATTGATGCTAGTGGGTATAGTTCCCAGTTAAAGTCCTTCGTACGAATAGGAGAGTTGAGACTAGATCGCGATGAGGTGGCATAACCAATAGGGAGTCATAACAGCTCCTGATAGCTCAAAGTAGATGTTAGCGTATATATACGCTTAGTGAATCATCTTTGAAGGTTTGCCAGGTTTGTCTGCCAGCAATACTCGTGTTTGCACAAAAATTGCTGCAGTACCCATGAATGGGGAGGGTAAGGAATTTGGAAAATTCCATTTTGGCAAGAACTGTGAATTTTATGGTACACGTTAGTCATTAAACCCTTTACCTCACACTATTTGATATTCGGTGAGCTCTGAAAAGTTGATATTGGGAGAATATCGTATTCCTAGACCACAGTTAAACAGTTTTAAACAGATACGTTCCCTATTGAGTTCCCAAGGTGCGTGCAAGTTCATGTTTTTGTCTGATCTGTATTAAATTGTGCTCATTGAACGCTGATAGTTTGAACCGAGTTACAGACTGCGGAAGCGATGGCGGGGGTATTTTATCTGCTGATTCCTTCCGAAGCACTGTGTGGTGGAGTTAGCGAATGGCAAGAGGAAAAATCCATCGGCAATAATGTTCGTGGTTGAGAAATTAGGTAATGAAGGGGTATGCGGGATACAAGAGGAGAGGGGGTAAGTGAGTCGGCGTAGTAGCAAGAGTAAGCCATCATAAGTGCAAAAAAAACGTGAGAGCATGGTTCCACCGCTTAGGTCTAAGTAGGCAGGACTACCGCCTTGAGCCGTTGGTCAAAGGATGTAAATCCTAGAGAGAGATAAGGGTTTCGCAACGGTTGGCTGCCCGTGACTGATAGCCCAGTTGATAGGACTCTCGGTTAGTGATAATCCATACCAGGGGTCAAACACCCTCATCTTCAGAGGCAAAATCCGATGCTCGGATTGTTTGCCGGAGCACAATCCCTCTAAAAAAGACTAGGGGCAGTGAGTTTCTTTAGTGGTAAATCAAATCCACTAAGTCGTAGTTAGACAGAGATTAATGGCTTTCCTTAGGAGAACATTTGCTAAGTGAAAACCCGCTTTGGCCTGGAACACTGTTACGAATACAACTGTAGGAACGAGGAATTCTGAAGCCACCCGTATGACAAGACAGGGAGA